TATATATATATATAATTCAATCGGAGAAAGTTAGGATTAATAATTTCTCAACTGTACCAAAATATTAAAAATAGAAAAGTTACATAGTAAAAGGAAAAATTAAAGAAAAGAATTTACTGAGATTCCATGCATAACGATTACTGTATAATGTTTTTCCGTCACTGTGAACTCTAAAAGGTCCGAGTTCCTCCATGGCCCCAAATGCAATAGAAGAACAGCCAGGACCTACAGATATGATTCTTGGAATTTTAAGTATAATATATATATATAGAGAGAGATTAATAACAATATAAGCAAATCCAAAAATGTATTGATCAGAAACTTTAAGTGTTATTAAAGAGAGTGATATGAAATCTTAAAATTTTAAGAAAATAGTAGTAAGAAAAATAACTTTGGTTTTTAATTTAACCTTTTAATGAAAAATATTACTACTTAACACTTTATAGCAACCAATAATTTTACTGGTGAAAAATATTTCTCTCAAATAGCTTAAACCAAGATGAAGCTTTTTCAGATGTCATATTCACAAACGCAAAAATAATATTTGGGGCTGGTGGAAGTACAAGTGGTCAATTTAATAAAATTATACATGTAAATGAAAAGGTTTATGTCAAAAGTATATAGTATAATACAAAAAAAAATAATATATATACCTCCATTAAGCCAAAGAAGCAAAGGCAATGACTTAGAATTTTCAACTTCAGTAAAGTAATAATACAAAGCACGACCAGCAAATTCATTGACAGTAACATAGCCACTATATTGATGGAATTTAATTGGTGGTTGTCCAGGCAATTTTTTGATCCAATCTCTTTTCTTTCTATCCGTCTTGAGGTAGAATAACTTTGTCTAAATCTACATGGTTAAGTGCTGCCTTAAACTGTCTCTTGTCAATGGGTGAAGCTTTCTTTAGCTTAGCCTTGGAAAATTTGCCAAGAACATCACTTTGCCTTTTTCCAAGGCTTGAAGCCACAAAATATGACAAAAAGAGGGTAAAAAGTAGGAAGAAAAAAGTGATTTTTCCCATTTTCTGGTCTTTTTTGTTACTTTTACGAAAAGTGGAGATATAAGGGGGTTTATATCTTGCAATTCTATGTGATTCTTGATTTGATTATGATACCATTTTGGTACTGAAGACAAATTATTTTTAACAAATTGGCGATGTTATTGGGATTATGATATGATTTGCTCCAATTAGGCATGATATTATACCAAATATAGTTGTTGATTTCTTGCATTTGATAATTTTACTATATTTGATTTCCAAAGACAAATCAGTTTACAATAAATTAGCAATCACGGGACTATCGTATATGACTCTCTAATATGCAATATTTTATGCCAAATATAGTTCTAACAGAAATTCTACTACCTGATTTTCGCAATTTTGGCATGTAAATAAAAATAAAGTGAACTTTAATTCAAAAAAGGGTGTAATAGGAATGGAAATCTTCTAACCAAAAAAAAAAATGAATATCTCGACATAATATGATTAATTAACTAGTACGTAGTTTGTGCAGAAACTACAAGTGATTATGGATTAGTTTGTTAATTATAAGATGAGTATATAGCACATGTAGAGACCTTTTCATGTATAAGATTTTGAGATTTATAACTAATTTCTCACCTTAGATTAATTTGTATAAAATCATATATACAAATATATATTTCATGTGATATAATCTATGGATCAAATAAAAAAGAAGATATGAACCCTTCTTAAAAAGATATAAATAAAAATGAATCTTTACACAAATAGCCGGCTGGATTCACTATTTATTGTTTTAGCTGGTGTAGATAGATTATATCTGATTATACACATATTATATATGAATTATACATATATTATACATGCGCCAACTATTTTTAGTATAAACGGTTGGGGGATGAGAAGAATTAACTTAATAGCCTTACACCCAACCGCTTAAACTTAAAGTAGCCGATGGATGAATAATATATAAATAATTCAGATATAAAATATGTATAATTTGTATAATTAGTGTGTAATCCATATACACTGGTTAAAAAAGTAAATAATGAGTATAGCTGGCTATTTGTGTAAAGATTAAGCTAGGGTCCATTTAACTAGAAAGTCGATGGCCCAAGTAGCAGGCCCAAATAAACTTTCAGTTTCTCATCGCCGTTCAGTTTCTCCGACGAAATCAAATTGTGAGTTTCTGCATCTCACTCCTTTACAAATTTTACCTGTTTTTAACCATAATCTCCAATTTTAAAAAACAAAATCTTGTTAAATTGGATTATAGTACTGTTTTTCTTGCATATTTCATTGTAATTATTACTGGTTAATATTTTCTTGAAATTGTGATGATATATATATATATAATGGCATTTGAGCAGTAAAATTCAATTTTTAATATTTGTTAATTGTATAGCAGTAAAAATTCAATATTTAATATATGTTAAGTGCATTTGAGCAGTAAAAATTCAATCCTTAATATATGTTAATTGCATTTGAGCAGTAAAAATTCAATGTTTAATATATGTTGATTGCATTTGAGCAGTAAAAATTCATTCTATAATATATGTTGATTGCATTTGAGCAGTAAAAAGTCAATCTTTAGTATATGTTAATTGCATTTGAGCAGTAAAAATTCAATCTTTAATAGTTATTATAATATATGCCTTATGTTAATTGCAGCTTTGAATTGTTCTTAAATGAATCTTGAAAATAACCAAATGGGTGAGAGAAATGATACTGTGAAGGAAAAAAGATTAGTTTTTCTGACAGTCGGGACGACTTGTTTTGATGCATTAGTAAGAGCAGTGGATACAACAGAAGTTAAGAATGAATTATTCAAGAAAGGTTACACTGATATTCTTATTCAAATGGGGCGCGGATCGTACATTCCCACAAAGGTAATTTGATATTTTTATGTATATATGTTTTTCTCTAAACACATTTGTGCTAAAAGTTTCAGCTTTTCAATTTCTGCTCTAGTTTTAGATCCAAAAAAGTTGTTTCATATCTCCTTGATTTTAGCAAAAAGGAGAAAGAAAAAACTTGAGTTGGCTAATTAAGTGAAAGAACTACTTCCTCCATTTTAATTTATGTGATATAGTTTGACAAGACGCTTTGAGATTGTTGTTATTATCTTTCTGGCCTATTTGTTGACACTACTTGTTTCTACTGTTTCTTTTGTCTGTCTTGAGCCGAGAGTCTACCGGAAACATCCTCTCTATCTTCCCAGGGTAGGGGTAAGGCTTGCGCACACACTACCCTCTCCAGACTCCACTAGTGGGATTCCACTGGGTTATTGTTGTTGTTTAGTTTGACAAGGCACAGAGATTTAAGAAAAAAGAAAGACCTTTGAAGTTTGGCGGGCGTGCTCCGACAACCTTGCCCGAGCCACCCTCCCTTCATTCAATGCTTGACAGCTTTCTTCATGTGGCATGACACATCTATCTTTGACACTCATCAGTCAGCTAAAAGACGTGGTCTTAAACATGCCATGAGATTTTTGTAGCTATAAAACCATTAAGGGAAAAATGAGAAATTTAAAGTTAAATGGTTTCCAAATATAGAAAGGTTTCATTCTTTTTAGAACGGACTAATAAGAAAGTAGTGCCATGTGAAATGGAACAGAGGGAGTATGAGTTAGTGATTGAAAAATGATGCAGAATTACTGGTTTTACCAGGATTTTGGAAATAATCTCTGTTTGTTTTTGTTTTTATTTTCTTGCTGCGAAGAAAGTTTAGGATTCTTCTCAGATGTGAGACTTAGATTGGACAAGGACATTCAGATGATATGTTTAAATGGGAAAATAGATCATTAGAGAAAAGGAAAGCGTAACTTGTCTTGAAAATTCTAAGCTAAGGGATATTAACCCTGTCCAACGATACAATTTTGCACAGTGCAGCAGAAGAAGTTATATGTGTGCAAATTGTGTATTCGTTTAGGGGAGGTAGGTCTGTTTAATTGAATTCTGAAAATCGAAAGTTCTGGTGAAGAATTTATGTTTGGAAATGCTTGGATATGTAGCTTTAATCTGTGTAGTCACGGAAAATGGCTTTAGTGAACTGAAGTATTAAAGAAGCTGAGATCATAAATGAGGTTATCGAGTCTCAACTTTCTCTATGAAGGACAATCCAAAGGATAGATCGGGAAAGTGTGACGTGGCATTACATTTGGGTTCGTTTGAGTGCTAGCATCTCATTAAACTTAAGGACCATATTAGGTTTCCGTGACTGGCTTTTTCTGTTAAGCTTTATTCCAATCTTATATGAAATCTCTTTTGAGTTCTCTACTGAACTCCTGCACATACTCAGTCGCTCACATATAACCAACTACCTGTGCAAAATTTACTCAATCACTCGACCATTCTTTTTGCCTGGTAAATACTCATTTATTTCTTGTCTTATATATCTTGCTGTAATCTTTCCAGTCGACTGCTGAAAATGGTTCCCCAGCTCTGGACTACTTCACATTTTCATCAAGCATAGCTGACTACTTGAAGTCAGCATCACTTGTTATCAGCCACGCAGGTAATTCATGGCTGACGACAAATGTAGCATTATACATTTAGTGTATTTCTTGGTACTTTCTCCTGTCTTTGGCTTTCACAGTCTCCTTTACTTTTCTTCCTCTACTCCCCCCTCTAACCGGATCAGAGCAATTAGCCTTTTGGATATCATTGTTGGAATGAAGTGGCTATAGCCTATACATTTGCTCTGACTAGGGAATTAGTTCATATATAGACCCAAATAATAGTAGTACAAAGCAGAACAAAAAAAAAAGGACATGTCAATTGCAGATGCCAAAACCTAGTGTTAGCTTTCTCTCATTGAGACACTTGAACATTTTCATACTGTTCCAATGGTCTGGATAACTAACGTAGAAACATTGAGGGAATCAAGTTTCCTAATGTGTGGAAATGGTCTGTTTCCCTTAAGATGTTATCTCATGATGAGATATAGCGTCAACCTCTGTTAAGTTCTCTGCTAGCAAATGTTTACGGCTGCTAGTGGCCTCAGAAGACATATGATTGGCGAAAGTTCCTGCACTTTGTTCTGAGGTGGCATGTTGTTAGGTGACTTCTTCACATATATCCAAGTCTTGATTACCAGAGAGCTGTATTGGTGGGAGGTAGCAGGTATCCAGTGGAATAGTTGAGGTGCGCTCAAGCTCGCCCAGACACCATCATTAATTAAAGACGTGCATGCTTTGAGAACTTTGATTCAGATTAACTAGAGACAGTAGAAAATGGATTAAAAAGGTAAGGCTTATGTAATCACACATTTGAAAGTGCTGCAGGTTCTGGGAGCATATTTGAGACATTACGGCTGGGCAAACCGTTAATAGTGGTAGTCAATGAGGATCTAATGGACAACCATCAAAGCGAACTCGCAGAAGAACTGGCTGAGAGAAAACATTTGTATTGTGCTCGTCCACAAACGTTATACAAGACTATCTCGGATATGGATCCGGGGTCTCTTGTTCCATATCAACCAGGTGATGCAAAGCCAGTTGCTAAACTTATTAATAGATATCTTGGTTTCCCAGATGATTAATGGAAACTGAATGTTCTATGTATTTGACATTAACTGAAGTTCAATTGTATGTAATTTATATGGCCTAATCTTTTAGCTTCAAATATTCTGTTATGTTGTTCCTAATGGTATTTAATGTGATTGAAAAACTCTCACAAGAAGCAATCAAACTTCAAATTTGGTCTTTCCTTTTCTTTAGGTAGTTTAGTACTACATTATTTTAGCATCATAGTTTGATAATCAGATTTCAGTCAAGTTTTGAAATGTGCTTTTAACATAAGATTTACACTTAATCATTGTTAATGATATGTATCTTTATTAGCCACCAGCACTTTGACCTTAAGAGCACGACGCGTGATGTGTGAGTTAGGTACATCTCACTTGAGGATTTTTTGGTTATTAAAACATTGATGTTTCCTATGCTAATACCAATTATTGAAAATTGGATGAAGTCATTATCTGTCCTTGTATTTTGGCAATTGAATATTTTATACCTCTAACATGTATAAAATATTTTTGAGGAGAAATTGCGGGGTTTACTTATGTTTGTAGAGAAATGGAAAACGACGGAAAAGGGATGAGGAATTGCAGAATTTTTATTTAACTGTAATCGCATAAAAAAGATAACCTGCTTTAATTTTACTTTTTCCGTTTTTTTATTTATTTATGAAAATGCATAATCTTTTTTTTTAAACTAAGGTGACCATCAGGAATAAATTATCAAAGGCGACAATTAAATTCAATTTCCTCAACTTACACTGCTAGTTTGGCTCCTCATATTAAATGAATTTTTATGATTTTATGGTTTGAAAAACTCAGATTTGGGGTTATTAAAAGAAGAATGTTTGTCCATTTCATTTTATATAAAGATATTTAATGAAGACGGGAAGTCTTGGAGCAACGGTAAAATTGTTTCTCTATGACCTATAAATTACAGAGTCGAGTAGTAGAAGCAGTTGCTTTGTGTGGCCTATAAGTTATAACAGGGGCGGAGCTAGAGCTTCGAACACAGATTCGGCCGAACCCAGTAGCTTTGGTCCAAACTCTATATTTGCCTTTAAAAATTTATTAAATATGTACAAATTCTTAATTTAGAATCCAGTAACTTAGAAGGAATAGAATCACAAACCCATTAGCTTTAAATCCTGGCTCCGCCTCTGGGTTATAGATTTGAGCCGCAGAAGCAATCACTAATGCCTGTATTATGATAGAATGTCTACATCACACCCTTAAGGGTAGGGGCTCTTCCCGATTTCTACGTGAATATGAGATATTTAATGCACCGAATTCTCCTTTTCTATATTTAGTGAAGACACAATTTAGAATGCTATCCACTTAACTTCATAATGGATGAAGATATAATAAAGTAACTACAAGAAAGAAATGGTTTCTTAAAACGGAAAAGGTCCAAAAATATCCCTAAACTATGGTATATAGCTCACTTATATCCTCCGTTAGTAAACTGGGCCAAAAAAATCCTCCTCGTTAGCAAAATGGGCCACTAATGCCTTCAACCTAACGACTCATTCCTATCAGCACTTTGTATCCTACATGGCATCCACATAAGCCATGACATGACAGCCACATAAGCAGGCCATTTCATAAACCCGCTCCAGTTCCAAATAAGCGGATTCCAAATATCAACGCGAAGGTAGAAGACCCCCATTTCCAAACAAAAACCTAAGTTCCTTCATGTTTGTTCTTCCATGGCGATTTGAGGGATGAGGGGATGACAAAATCGAGCAAGATTTAACAACACAAATTGAAGATCATCTCAAGATATTCAGGTAATTTTCCCTTCTATTTATCGGGTCTCTGTCTCGAACTTCAATTTGTTTTTGTAATTTTCTAAGGTTTTGTCTGGTATTTCTGATCCTGGCTTCTAGTGTATATTGTTTGCATGTGGGTCTTGTACTCTTTTTGTTTGTTATCTTTGTTGTTTTCTTATGTGGTGTCAATTTGTGCCCTAGGTGTACATCGTTTTTGGTTGCAAGTATCCTTTTCACATTTTTTATCATAGTGTGGTAAAGGTTGGGTTGTTGAAATCGACAGAATCATGTGCATTTCTTCTTAAAGACAGTGTTTTTGTTTTTGCTTTCCACTGTGGTTTGAAATCGACAAAACATGTGTTTTATCTCTTAAAGTGTGTGCTTTATTCTTCCACTATATTTTATGCAGTAATTTATTGTATGTTCAATATTTTATTGTCAAAGTTGTTAAATTATTCATGTGGTCCATCTATGTTTTCTTCTGTGTCTTTATTATAGATATTTCAATATGGGGGACCATGAAGAGCCAATTTCAGCTCAATATTAGTGTGAATTAGGTACTGATTGTGAATCTGATAGTGATAAAAGTTCAGATTATGGTTCAGATGCTAGTGAATATGATTTTGAAGAATTAGAGTTACTTAGGATGCAAAAGGGTAAAGAAGTTAACGATAAGCTTAGTCACTACAAAGAGCTTGATAAGTCTATGACATTTAAGGACTTGGAAGAGGCCAAAAAAAGTCATGAACTTCTATGCTATTACAAATTCCAAACCTTTGAAGCTTAGAAAAAGTGATAAAATAAGAGTAAGGTATAGATGTGTAGTAGGCTGCCCTTTTGTATGCCTCATTTCTGAAGATAAGAAGGGTCCTGGATTTAAGATAAAAACATTGAAGACAGAGCACAACTGTGAAGATGTATTTGAGAATCCTAGAGCCAAAACAAAAACTTTAGCTGAATATTTCAGGAGTAAGGTACAGAATAACCCCAAGTACAAGATAAAGGATATGAAACTAGATTTGAAAAATCAATTTTCATTGAATGTACATAACTCCACATTGAAAAGGGCTAAGAGGATGGCACTTTAGCAATTGCAAGGAAGCTTTTTAGATGACTATAACAGATTAGAAGCATATGCAAATGAGATTAGGGAGAGCAATCCCGGTAGTGATGTGGTTATCAATTTATCAAAAGATGCCATGGCTGAAGGTAAAAGAAGATTTCTTAGAATGTACATATGCTTCAATGCAATGAAGTTGGGGTTCAAACAAGGGTTGAGACCATTCATTGGACTAGATGGGACTTTCTTAAAAGGTCATTGCAAGGGGCAATTATTGGTGGATGTTGCACAAGATTGTCAGAATCATTTTTATCCCTTGGCTTGGGTTGTAGTTGATAGGGAAAACACCTTGACATGGACATGGTTTCTGGAGCTGTTGAAGCACTCATTGAATCTGAAAGATGGAACCAGTATTACCTTTATGTCTGATATGCAAAATGTACAACTTATGATTTTGTTTAACTGACTATTCCAGTTATTTTTAAGTTATTATATAGTTAATTCTGTTTAAATTTACATGTGCAGGGTTTGTTGGAAGCAGTAAGAATTGTCCTCCCTCTCTCAAATCATAGGTTTTGTGTGAGGCATATTGATGCCAACTGGAGTAAGAGGATCAGAATTTCAGGAGAGATGAAGAAATATCTATGGTGGTCTGCTTGGAGCACTTATGAAGAGGACTTTAAAGATCAACTAAAGAATCTTGGTGAATTGTCTGTTGATATTGTCAAGGAGTTGCTTAGGTATCCACCACAGAATTGGTGTAGGTCCTACTTTGATACATTGTGCATAAAATCAGATGGTGGACAACAATTTTACAGAGTCCTTCAACTCTTGGATCTTAGAAGCAAGAGGCAAGCTTATCCTGAAGATGCTTGAGGATATTAGAATCAAGGTCATGAACAGGTTGAGAGAGAAGGAAGAAGAAGCTAGAACATGGAGATGTGACTTTAGTCCTAACTGCATGAAGTTGTATGCTGCTTATTTGGAGGTAGCCAACTTATGTACTGTTCATTTCAATGTTGAAACTGGTTATGAGGTTTCCGAGGGTGGTGATAGACATACAGTGAACCTAGTGGAGAAAAAATGCACTTGTAGATCCTGGCAATTGACTGGCCTCCCATGCCCTCATACCATCAGGGCACTAAAATACGAGAAAGATGATCCAATGACTGAAATTAGTTGGTGGCACAGTAAGGAAGCTTACCTGATGACATATAGGGCCAAGTTGATGCCTCTTAGAGGTGAAAAGTTCTGGAAAGCTTACCTGATCACTGCTCGACGAGGGAGCTCTTCGTCAATCCATTCAAAATACTCACAAGAATTAACCTACACCATTATTAGAAATTACAGTAGTTCTGATTTTGTACATAAACAATAAAAATCAAGAACGACCTAATTCGACAAAAGAAGATGAATCCCATAAATGTAACACTCCTCAAATTTATAAAAGTTTCAAGATAAGCTAATTATAGAACTGAATTATTATTAATTATTAAAAAGTGGGTATTAGTAATTATTAGTTAAGTCAAAAAAAAAAAGAAATAAACCTAAAGCCCATAAAGGGGCTATTGTAAACAAAGGCTTAAAGCCTTATAGAAACAAAAGAGATGAAGGTATCTGCCTTTCAAAAGGCAAGAAAAAAAAGGCTAAAAACAAAGAAAATAAGAAAAGCCTTAAACAAGTCTGTTAAGAACTCTTATTCGAACAAAACAGAAGTCTAAACCTTCTGTTCTTTCACGCAAACCTTGGAAAAAAGAAACATAACGCTACAAAACAGAGCAGAGGCAGCCTTGCTACTTAATACTCACGCAAGCAACGGGAAGTTCTAGGGTTCGTTACAAATCACTTATTCTTGAACTCAGGTATATAAAATTTTCTATTGTCAATTATCCTAAAGTAGTAACAGGTAAGAATTGAATAGTTAATTCCCTTCTTCCTCTATACCAACAGTAAACTTCATGTTTAGGTCTGAAACTTTAAAATTGATTAAAATGCACTGGTTGTTGTAGAATCGATTGTTTGACGGGTATAAATTGGACTGGGGTCTACGTATTGGCTCAAGAAGTTTTGAGGTGAGTTGATATAACCCTTTACTAAAGTGGTTTAACTCACAAAAGCACGCACACAAGGTGTTTGATGAATTGCATAAAAGAGTTAATATATACTTAATTGGAGCAGAAATGTGAAAATTGGAGCAGAAATGTGGAAATTTGATCTTCAATTTGTGTTGTTAAACCTTGCTCGATTTTTTCATCCCCTCACCTCTCAAATCGCCATGGAAGAATAGACATGGAGGCACTTAGGTTTTGGTTTGGGAATGGGGGTCTTCTGCCTTCGCGTTGATATTTGGAATCCGCTTATTTGGAACTGGAGCGGATTTATGAAATGGCCCGCTTATGTGGCAGCCATGTCATGGTTTATGTGGATGTCATGTAGGATACAAAGTGCTGATCGGAATGGGCCGTTAGATTGAAGCCATTAAGTGGTCCATTTTTCTAACGAGGAGGATTTTTTTGGCCTAGTTTACTAACGGAGGACATAAGTGAACTATGTACCATAGTTTAGGAATATTTTTGGACCTTTTCCGTTCTTAAAATAGAAAACAATCCGTTGTGAGAGTACTTTAGTGAAGAAACCACGTTTAGGAAACTTCCCACCAAACTTGTTTTACATCCAAGGGTGTATTCTATCTAACTAGCTAGGTGCAATTATAGAATATCAAGATTCAACCTCTAATAAAGTCAAAAATAATAATAAAAAATCAAATAATTCTTATCTTAAGTTTATCCGGACACCACTGGGCCAATATTGTCAAAGGCGTACTTAAATTTATGTACATTTTATTCATTAAATTTGAAAAATTATGTCCAAATCCACATAAATAATATATTTTGATATGGTATTCCAAACCATTCACGTAACCATGAAATAGATAGAGTACCTTGGATTTCACTCCTCTCCATTTCCTATTACCTCCATTTCCCCAGTTCTTGCTTGGATAGGAGACACCTATACCATTTTAAAATTAATGGTCTAGATCTAATTAATTATGGGGAAATTTCATATTAGAATAACTGGGCTCCCTACTTTTCAATAAGAGAAAATTTCACTTTCTACCCATTAATTCCAAACTATTTACCCTTTAATGTCCAGACCCAAACTATTTACTACTCCTACCCATGGGGCCCAAACTATTTACCCGCTAATTCCAGTCGCTCCTTGGCCAAAGATGAAAGCGATGAATAATATCAAAGCAATAAGGTTCATCTGCAAGACGGACCCCTCAATTGATGAACAACTAAATAAAACGAAATAGGAAGACTCCAAGAATTCACATATAATTAGTGACCCTAAAGAACCAGATGCTACTAAGTCAACAACAGAATAGTTAGAGGCAATCATCTTCTTTATCGACTTTCTGGAAAAAAACTTTACATGGGTTTTTGACTCAACCCCAGACGCAGTGACACATTAATTGACTTTTATTGAGCTAACACCAATTGATTTGCATGGTCCCATGGTAATATCATCCTTTGAGAATCTTCCCATTAAGGATTACTGAGAATTTATAAATTAAAAAAAAAATAACTAGTTAAATGCACAAGTCAGAGTACAAAAATTTCCAAAACCAAGTATGATCTAATTGAACTCTGAGAGAATTTTTACTGAAGATAAATGCTACAAATATAAACCTTTTTACCTTGTGCTGTCGATCTTCCCCGTCTAAATTTTTATGTGTATTTGAATATTCACCATTGTTGGGCTTGAAGCTCTTGAATTTAAAATTTTTATTTTGAAGATTTCTTGTTTGATTCAAAGAGTGTGCTGTTAAATATTGCTAATAATACCTTCTGGAAGTTCATACTGAAATTTGATAGCATTTGGATCTGATTTGAGGTGATTGAGATCGAATTTTTTAGTTGAAAATTGAAGAAGAACATAGCTACATAATAGTATACTGCTACAATATACAATATGTTGTAGGAGTATATAGCTATACTGCAACAGTATACTATTATAGTTTATAATATACTGCAGTGGTATATTGTAATAATCGAGAAAAGCAAAACAGTTACCTAACAGTATACCGCTATAGTATACAATATACTATAGGAGTATATAGTTATACTACCACAATATACTAGTATACAATATATTGTTATAGTATATTGTAATAATATGCAACATACTGTAACAGTATACAATATGCTATATGTTACACCTTGTGTATTCGGCGTTATCATGCTGTAAAGGGGCTAATTCGATAGGAAGATAATTTTTATGAGATATTTAAAAGATGCGATAGTTATACGTTAAGATTGGAAGTCATTCGAGTTGTGATTAAAAATTCGACAAATATCGCCGCAAGTTACGGGTTTTAAATTTCACTGAAAGTTGGATAAAATGTTGATGAGATTTTCTCTCATATACTAGGAGTTATGGTGTATTCTACCCACCGAATTGAAGGTCTATGAGTCTAGTTTCCAATACAACAAACCGTTCGTTAATACAACTTCGGAGTAGAGAGATATTAACATTTTTGTACAGGGGTGCACACTGTTACGGGAACAATGTGCTTAGTCGGTTAGTTAAAAAAAAAATTATTTAGGTCAATTTAAAACAGAACCCCTGCATTTTATCCTCTCCAAAACAGAACCTAAAACCTAGGGATTTCTCTCAAACTCCTCCCATCCATCTAGCCAATCATAACAATAATTTAGTCATCCTCAAGATGGAGAACACCATGGTAACTTCGGAATCATGAATTCTTCGGTGTTTCACTTTTCGTAGGAAGACTCCGCCTTGAATTAATCTCGAATTTAAAGTAATTCTGGTCCCATAAGGTATGATTTAACTTCCTCTTTGATCTTTGTAAACTTCTACCATAAGAATTCCTAGGAAATAGTTGAAACCTCTATAGAAATGTTCTTGATTTTTTAAGAAACCTCTCATTGTTGGGTCTGTTCTATATGGTTTTATTGTGTTGTTTGGATCTGTGAAGACATGGATGGAATCGTGTCGATGAGGAGATATAGTAAAGTAAAAATTTGGTGATGTGTTGGGGGGAAATTAAACTACAAAGGAGTCTACAAATTCATGGCCGCAAGTTGTTCGCTTAAATGTCTAAATGAATAATTATATAAGATATGAGCTTGAATTTGATATTGAATGGTTCATATTATGTAGGAAATCATTCCTAAGGCTTTCGAGGTTTCGTAAACCGTATATAACTCCATCGACAAGGTATGTAGGGCTTTTGCTATACTTTTCGGCATGACTAGAATTCGAATAAACGTTTATTGAATTGTTTCGTCGGATTCGAGTTACTTCACCTTCAACTTATAAAGATGCTTAGACATGTTCCTTTCTTATAGATTTCTTACTTCAGAGAATATCTATGAATTCTTGATTTTTCTTGTTCCTTGCTTAAAAAGAACTAGAGCCTTTTTACTTGTTCTCCTTTCGACGTTCATATAAATCATGAATAGGTAATACTTACTTCAAAGGTACTCATAATACATAACTCTCATGTTCTTAGTACTTGTTGTCTCGTAGTTGAAAATTAAATATTTTAGCGACAACCATGATAGTCGGGGAATAATGATGATAGGGCACTTCGACTCTTCTTAGAATACGTCTTTTAAGGTTAGTTTCGCATTACACTTATATAATTCATGATTTAATATATGTATGTATTTACTTTCATTACCGAGCCGCACTATAGACGACCAGGTATGACACCTATTGTGTAACCACTGATCAGTTGGGATTACCGAGTTTTACGTGGCTGGGTACGATTCTACCGAGCCTTTATTATGGCGGGGTATGTTATGGATATTATAGCCCCACAGAGGGATTATTATATAATATGATATATTATAAGTAGCAATAGTGGGCGACGATTCCACGAGCATACATTTATATCCATGTTGAATTTTAGTTTCCTATCGAGGGTAGTTTCAGAAATCAAATTGTATCTATATCTCTTCTCTTGTTAATTACATTTTTCATGTTATACTTGTCGCCCTACATATTCAGTACATATTTCGTACTGGCGCCTTTTTTTGCGCTGTGTTCATGCCCACAGGTTCGGATAGACAAAGCGGTGTGCCTCATCAGTAGGACCCCCAGGATCAGTGTTGGGTTTTGCGCTCCACTTCTTCGAAGTTACTGACTTTGAGTCCATAGGTACTATTACAGATGTATATGTGTAGTTTTGGGCATGTTGGGGACTTTGTCCCGCCATGTTGAGATTGTCTTACACTCTTAAAGGCTTGCAGACTAGCGATCATTGCATATTTATTTTTTTTGTATGGCCCTATCGGCCTTCTGGATAGCTGTTATACTGTTTTTGTAGCCTTGTTTGCCTAAGTTATA